GGCGAACGGCACGGCAAGAGCAATAAGTAGCTCGTGTCGATTTGTTCTCACTGCAGACACGCCCTCGAGTCCATCATGGAGCCATTTCTACACTCCAACCTGCGTTACGGCTCGATTGCTAGTTCCCTCGACGTCATCACGATCTGTGGGTTGCCCACATCCACACACACACACACATTCACCCCGTTTGTCATATTTCATCGTCGTGGCGAACGATCGTGTATCCTCTATGGAAATGTGCCAATTACTTCTTCTTGGCCTTCTCGACAGTCTTCTCGTCTTCGTCGGCAGCGTGCTGTTGGGCAAACTGCTCAATGCACGAAATCGCAAAGTACGCCATGAACGCCACCATAATGAACCCGCCGGCCTGCGAGATGAGAGAGCTGCTGTCGGCCGCGGCGCCTTCCGCCGCGTGGTCGACCTTGGCCTTGTCAGCCACAGCGTGAAACTTGTGGCGGCACTCGAGCAGGAACTGGGCGACCTTTTGATCGAGCTCCCACGACTCGGGGGTGATGGCCGCAATGAACTTTTCGATCTCCGTAAGCGTGGCGTCGGTGAAGATGGTGACGAAGAACATCGCTTGCAAGTTGGCCTTGATCAGCGCCTTCCCGATCAACGTCGCGCTGAAGAACGTCCAGAACGGCATTTGAAAATGGCCGCAGCAGATCCCGCACAAGTCGAACGCCATGTTCGGCCACGCGCTCATGAGCAGCACGCCAAAGAATCCATGGCGTTGCAAAAACGAGATCATCCACTCCTTCATGTGGTTCAGCGCGTTGTACTCGGAAGACGACGTCTGAATGTCCTCAAACTCTTCGTTGCGCTTCCCGGCCACACTCGCCGCGTACGACAGCGCGTACGGCGGAATCTCGCCCAACGCGGTCCCTGCACCCCACAGCATCGACGCGACTGCGACCTTGGTGAACATCGAGACGAATGTCACGTCCGCGCCGGTCGACGACCCGCAGTTCGTCTCGAATGAACGGAACCACGTGTGGTGGCGCGTGTCGAAGTCGGTCGACTTGCAAAATTCAGCGCCTTGCACGACCAGAAAGATGTGCGGGAACAGGAACAGAATGCCAGAGTGCATGCCGGTGCCGAGGCCAACGCTAGACAGCACGCCGAGGCCTACCCACCACACAACGTACTCGACATTCGTGTTGAACTCGTCCAAGTACACGTGGTGTTCGCCCGGTGTGTTGGAGAGGCCGATCCACAGCAACACGAGCGGCAGCGCCAGGAACAGTGTCAGGGGGTGCGTTGCAAGCGCCACGATCGCCCATCGAACGAAATCCTTGAGCACGATGGAAAAGTGGTACAGCACCGACAGCGGGCGTCGAAATAACGTCAGTTTCTGTCGCTCGGCACGCAGCGTCTTCTCGAGCTCCGCCACACTGTCGTCGGCCTTGGATGGAAGCGGTGCTGGCGCCGTCGCAGAGCTAGCGTTCGTCGCCGCCTTCTTTGCCATGTTCCCCAGCAAATGCGGTAATGTTGTGGTGGAACGAGGGGTCGATTATTTTAGCCAATGAAATGTTCAGAACGACCACTTTCTACCAATCACATCTCGACACCAGCGGTTTTACTCAACAACCAACATTCCCGATATCTCCTATCCTGTGTACTCGACAGAAGCCTCGGAATGTACGTCACTCGGCACTCCCCGAAAGTGTTCGATCGGCGCTGCGAGCGGCGGTAGCGTTGGCGCTGGACATGGACTTGTGGGCAGGGCCAGCAACATGCAGGCGCAATGAAGTGTGCGCCACAATCACTATGTCATCGCGGCTATTGGTGCTAATGACCTTGGTCGACAGTGAGCCCAGTGTGAATTGCACGTAGCTCCGAAGCTCTTGCGACTCAACTGCGCTGCATGGACTAGCATCGTGCTCCAAGCCGTGCGCGAAAGGTGCAGGAGCTGTAGTTGATCAAGGTGGCGGATCGATGGGTCCGCAACGGCCAGCGTTCCAGAGTTCTATTCATGGTCATCTCCAAAGCTTCTACTAACGGCGGCATGTGTCGGGCTTTTGTGGTTGGGGCTCTTGGACCATGTGTGTTTGAGCTCGCGGAGGTTGTCGCCTTGGGTTTTCGGGGATTCTAGAAGGGGCGCGCCCGTGGCTTCCGATGGTTTCGTTGGGGACAACGTGGGGCTCGAGCTGGTCTTGGAGCTTTGAAATGACAGGTTGAGTCGGAGGGTTGCTTTGAGCGCGGTTGCTTTGTTCGGGGACGAAGGTGGAAGATGCAGCGGCGACGTGGAACCAGGGACGACCCTCGTGGGCAGCGTCATGGTCTGTTTGATAGCGGATCTACCAGGCACGATGATGTTGGCAGTGACGGGGGTGGAAGCTTTGACCATGCTGAGGGCCATCGATTTGGCTTTGGCAGGAGATGACTCGTGCAAGACGGTGGGAGCAAGCACTTTGTGCCCACTTGTCGACTCAGTGTCGTGAGCTACGGTCTTGTAGCTCCACATGCGAGCTTCGATCGCTTCCATGAACTGCTGCTGAGGGCCGATGACGCTGCCCGCTCGACACAACCGGAGCCACCCAATGCACTCTTTCGCGGTAAAGTGGAAGTGCTTCATCAGGTACGCTCCAATACACGTTCCCGTACGCCCAAGACCTGCTTTGCAATGCACCGCGACGGCACCGGGCGTGGCCTCACACGCGGCAAGAAATCGGTCGAGGATGTCGTTCGGGGGGTTGGCGCCGTCAGGGTAGTACAGATCCAGGTGGTCGATGCCCGCGGCTTTGAACCGCGACTCGTCGTACAGGCTCTCGTTGAGCCGAATGACGAGCGTGACGTGCTTCGATTTAAAGTACGGGACGTAGTGCTCGGGTGTGAGCGAGATGTAGCCTTCTGCCGTGTGCCGGTACACGTCGTGGGGGCCAGCAAACGCAATGAACTTGGGGGAAAGCCAGTTGAGATCGCCGTTCTCGACTTGCTCGTAGTGCTGGTACTCGTCCACGCAAAACGTCGCTGTGTCGAGAAACCGGTGTCGCAGCGCCTTCTCGAGCCCACAGAGGCAGTCCAGCACCGTGAGTTTGAACACGCACATGGTCGGTGTGGCGTCGTGGAACGGGGGCAGCGTGGGTAGCATCTTTTGGAACGGCGCGATCGCGTCGGCGGCTGTCATGCGGTTGTACAGGATGCCCCAGCACGCCAGGATGCATATCGCGTTCGCCTTGCGCTTGCCGTCCGTGGACGAGTAGAACACGAGCTTCTTTCCCAACGGTTTGACGCGACTCAGTTCGTCGTTGAGCACTTGGCTAAACAAGAACGTGTGGCCCAGGTTGAGCGGTCCAAAGTCCAGGTAAAAGTTTGTGTACAGGAGCTGCCGGTCAATACTAAAGTACACGACGTCGGACGTGGACCTGGGCGTCGCGCCTTCCGAGAACGACGTGTAGTACACGACCCGCGGGACGAACTCGATCACGCTGTCCATCGGACGAGTGTGTTTGTGGGCAGACGAGTGGCGACGGTCGCGGAATGCACAATGGCCGACCATTGCACGCCGATCGCCACGTCAGTTAGCGCATGCACGAAACCCCCGACCAAGGAATTGCAAGGGCCGCCTATTTTTAGTGCTCTCGAACGTTGAACGCGCCTCGTGGTTCGGAAGTTGAACGCCCCAACTTGGAACGACAGAACGGCCCAACTTATATTGGCGGTGCGTCCGTCGGGGCGCGCTGGACGGAGACATGAGACGGCGTAAAGATCGATTGGGCTGCAATGGCCAAATCCAGCCGCGATCCCACGCCGTCGGGGTGTGTGCACTGGCTGGGGGAGTCTTGCCTGGGTGAGCTACCTTGTTCGACCTGTGCATGGAGACTCCGACAAGTCAGAGCTGCATGGGGAAAACAATGGGTGTCGCTGCCGCAACGAATGTGGGACACTGTGTTGGAAGGATGACGCGTTCGATAGTATAAGGACACGACTTTGTTGTGCCAGGCTAGCCGGACCAGTCCGGCGGTAGGCGTAGTGGCCGGACGGCGTACCTTTGATGCTGTTCTGGTTGGCAAGGCGGTCGTGGGCGGCGATGGTCCAAACGGCTAGGAGGGCCAGCAATGCACCGGTGGCGACGAAACCAGTACAGAAGAAGACGCAAACGGCGGGCGCAAGGTCCGTCGCCGGACGAGAGCGTCGGACACCATCGGGATGAGAATTTGACCAGACCTAGAATGCCTGCGCAAGCGATCCCGTTGATGGACACGAGCGTGGCGCTGGTTTGGACGAACTTCGTGGTCGCCATCGCTGACATTCGAGACAAAATGACCACACTCAGCGATAGGTTGCCCCGCAGTGTCACGTGGATGCAGGCGAAATCCGCCGACACATCAACTTGTCAACTAGAGTCGCGGCTACGATGCGCTTGAGCCACAATCGCTGATCGGTCGCGCTGGTGTCGTCCGGGGCAGGTAAAAGAACGTCGTTTGTCCTTCGAAAGTGGAGGCTTGGGGCGTTGTCACAGTGTCTACGCAACTCCATCGCTCGTGTCCAAGAGTCGTCCAGGGCAGCATCGATGTCCGCCAACCCTCTGTGCATGTTGAGCCTCCCAACGGAATAGCCGGGCGTGCACAGCAAGACGGCATCGCAATGCATTGGCAAAGGATGTAGCCCAGCGCAAGTTAGGAGGCAAGAGGCCCAACTCGTCGATCGTTGACTAGTACGGTTGGCTCCAAAGGAGCGGCTTGACGCCGAACCCACCAACTGTACAACATGAGGCAATCCCGCGCACAACTGGGAGTCACGTGATAAAGGGTAAAGGCTGACGAGGGTTGACATAGTTGAAGCGGATGCCCCAGTCAGCAATGGCGCCGTACACCACGTACACGCCTACGATCCCATGACGATCTTGGCAATGACCCACAGGTACATTAGCAATTGTTCGGCACCTACAGATATCGAGGAAGGAGGTGTGCTGTGTACTTCACCAGGGAATGCCACCCCCCCCTTGACATGTGCCCTCCACGAAATGGTTGGCCGCATAGCCCCGCGTACTCGACGCGACGAGTTCGATCCACCAACAAGTAGTCGCGAAGGGAGTGGGTTGCCAATTCAAATTGCTGTGAACCCAAACTTTGGCCTAGTTCGAACGTTATGCCACGTCATCCATGAATACTTTGTCCCGGGCGCCAGCGTGGATGAAAGGCGGGGGATCGCCCAACACACGTAGCGCTATTCGCTTGGCGTTCCAAGACAAACGAAGGGCGCAGAAGACGCTGATGCAAGTCAGTCACGCGGGTTTCCAACTGTGCACACGGTCGTGCGCTACACAACGACCATGTTTTCATTCTTTCGTACAGTTCTTTTGTGGATCGACTCTGATTACGGCTCCTGACGGACTCGGTTCGTTCAAAAGGCACATCGTTTGAGCAATCGTTGGTCATCTTTCGTCGAGAGGGGTTTCTACGAAAAGATGTACATATGGGGAAAGGTTGCTTGATTTCGTGGCTCATGCGGCAGGTCCCGTGCCTGAACCTCTAGGCTGCGCCGTCTAACTTGCCACCGCTTCTCCAGGCGACCTCTGCGATCGCCTGGTCGTCGCTTTCCGTCACGTCGATGCCCCGTCGACCACGCTGCAGGGACTTGGCGGTGAGAATCGTTCGTCGTGTCCATGCCAATTCGTGTATCGCTATCGTCGTTCTCTGTCGTGGGTTGCGAGCGTGTTCTGCGGACACCCGTGTCCCTGTACTGGATGAAGTGGTTTGCAACGATCAAGCCGTGAAGGCGCATGCACGTGCGTTCGTCCAGGCCCTGGGACTCTTAAGGTTGAATGTAGTGCGTGTAGGGGGCGCCTGGGAGCGGAAGGAAGAGCAGCGTGAAAGGCCGAGTTGCTGGGATCGCGGCGCCATTCGTAGAGTTTGGTGAGGTATTTGACCCGGGTGAGGGATGCGGTGGGGAATTAGGATGCCGCAACGGTGGGTTTGTCGCATCGGCCAGTCGCAGGAACAGCGTACAGAATTGTGCCGTGAACGTCAGTAGAGTTCGAGCGCCGACCTGCAGCATCCGTCGCTCTGCCAAGCCACCGCTGGAATGCCGTGGCCGCTCAAGCAAACCAAGGCAGACATGCCCACCGTCCATCGACGCCAAGACGAGTTGGTGCAAACGGGGGTCGATACACTCGACGCCATCTTGGCCAGAGACAGTGGCCAAGACGGCACGGTGTGGACGGCTGGAACGACGTTGCGCCGTCGCCAGGAGAGCTCCAGTGTGATGTTTTGGAAGGGACATGTCCCGGGTTATACCGTCGATGCCGTCAAGGCGACGTGCTACGTGGGATGCTCCGCCGTCCAGCTCGCCAACAAACTGAAAGACCCGACACGTCTGCGCGAGTACGACGCCACGATCTTTGGATGCCGTATCGTCGAAGAAGTCGATGTACCGTCCTTTACAACGATTCAGTTCTGGCAAGGCGTCCCGTTGTTCCCAGCCACGGCGCGTGAGTTTTGTGTCCTGACGGCGGAGCGCAGACTGCCGGGTAGCCAGGAAATCGTGCTGGCTGCTCGATCCATCGAGCACGAGTCCGTCCCGCATAATGCAGCGTACATTCGAGGCGAAATGTACTTGACTGGGTTTATCTTGCGACCGGTCGGCAAGACGTCGTGCTTTGTCACGGCCCTGCGCCACGTGAATATGTGTGGTACTGCGGCGCCGTTTGTCGGGCGCAAGGCCGACGACATGGTCGCCATCGCAATGAACCTGCAGCGTTTGTTTGGCAAGCCAACGGAACCAAACGACTTGCCAGTCACAGCCGTTGCTCCAGTCTCAAGTTTGCAACGTCCAGCGCCGCACGAACCACCGCCTGACGCGTCCACGTGCGCCAACTGCGGCAAGGACATCTCGCACGGCTTCAGTCGCCATCGCTGCATCGTATGCCATCACGTGTTATGTGGGGACTGTGCACGGCACGTCGTCAAGTCGAAGCAGTGGCAAGTTCTTCGCATGTGCAATCCTTGCGCCGCTGAAAACGTCGCCAACGATCAACGCACGCCGCCCGACAAATCGCCCGTTCGCGTTCAAAGGACGACCGAGGAAATCGCAGCGCAGCCGGCGAGTCAGGTGTCGCCAACAGCGCTGTTGGTCGTGTGTGCTGTCGCGTCGCTTGTCGTGTGGATGGAGTGGCCTGGCCATGCTTTGGTCATCTTCACAGTTGGTCTGCTTTCTCTATTTGCATCGATTGCTCACTCCCCATCCGGCTGTGCATCAAGTCGGGGCGAGCTTGTTCGTTCACGATAGAAATTATCGGGAACCGCTTTTGTACAGTGGGTCACAAAAGTCTGAATACCCTGATCAGAATTTCTGTTTTGGTGTGTTCCGTGGGAACCTGAATGACTTTAGCTGCGTACTCGAGTGTTTTAGAATTCTTTCTGCATTGCCCATCATCCAAGGCAAGTGCATCGTGAGCTCAACGCGAATTGAACCCAATATTTGACATTGTATACATTTTGGGAAATCAAAAGTCTGCATACCCAAGAAAGAAATTGATGTATTCGAGGCAATTAGTACTTGGTTACGCCGCCGTCGTTGGCAATTACCATACTCATCCTCTTCGGCATTGTTTCAATGATGCCTCGGATGAAATCGAGTGGGATACTATCCCAAATCTTTGTGAGACTCACTTTCAGACCTTCCATGGAGGAAGGGGGGCGAACTACGCACTCTACGCTTCATGTACTCCCACACATGTTCGATTGGGTTGAGGTCAGGACTTTGGGCTGGGTGCTCGAGCAGGTTAAATGCATTGTCTGCAAAAAACTTGTCGACAAACTTCGTCTTGTGGATGGGGGCGTTGTCGTGCAAAAATTCAAAATCCACAGGCAGGTCGAGTTTCACAAAATTTTCGACAAAATTTTCTTCAACCATCGCGAGATAGTCCTTGGATTTCATCTTTCCTTCACGGAACACCAAACATCCCGTTCCATTGTACCCAATGGCACCCCACACCATCAACGTTTGACGGCCACTCTTGAATGTGGGGACGAGGCAGTGGTCCATCAATTCTTCATGGGGCTTGCGCCACACGACCCGGAGAGGTTGAATGGACTCTCATCAGTCCATATGACCTTCTTCCAGTCGTCGATCGTGCGTTTGAGATGCGTTTTAGCATACAGCAGTCGCTTGGCCTTGTTCTTCTTGGAAATGAAGGGCTTGCGTCTGGCCGCCCTTCCTGCATGCCTTCTTTTTGGATACGGCGACGAATTGTTTGGGTGGAGACGTCCTTCTCGTGGAA